CAGTTAAACAGGGCATATTTTAGGCTTACAAAACGTGGGTCGGTGGACATAATCCAATTACACGGCGAATACGTTAAGAGTGAGAAGAGAACGCTGGTAACCTCTGTCATCAAACCTCAGCTGCTCAAAGGAAGGAAGAACAAGCCCTTAGTCACACAACAGCCAGACAGAGAAGTTGAAGTGTGAGAACTTCCACACTACACTAATACTGGAGGGGGGGGGGAAATGGTGAGAAAAGGTCAGCAAAGATAGCAGTTCAAAACCAAACGGAAAGCCTCAGGGCCTTAAAGTCCCACAGAAGCTTTACACCACAGCTCATACCCAACCCCACCCACCACCAACAAAGCCTAAGCAAAAAGAACAAATACATAAAAAATAAAAATAAAAAGGTAGCTGTCCTCGCTTGCCTCTCAATACGAAGAACCTGAGAATACAGCTAACTTCCTGTTCCAACTCAGCAACTCCAAAACACAAATGTGACCACAGTATAAGGTGAGCTAACCCAGCACGTCCTGTGCTGTAGCACATCTCAAGCCACCAACTCAGCTCCTGCTCTGCATTCAAGAACTGAAAGACGGTATCCTCTTATCTCTGTGCAACTTCATCACTTTGAATGGAAAAGAAAACAAAAAAAATGCTGGTTCCCAAAGTCTGTATTTTTCTAGGAATTTACACATGCAGATTCCCCATGTTGTGCAGTCTGAAGAAAAGCTAAAGGTCAGCAGAGCTATACTGTATACTGATCAATGTTTAACTTGAACTTTATCTATAATATTACCCAGCAACTTTCTGAGTCTAGCACCCAGGGAGGATGCTGTAAATAGGAGGCCGATAGGCTTTCCAAGAATAGGAGATAACTTACACAAAGGGAAGACTGTGCTGTCTTAATTAGCTGTGTTCCCTTTTCCATTCAGCCGCATATCATCTCCCGATAGCCTGCACCATTTCCATACAGCTGAGATGCTTCCTTAAATGAATTACCATCAGCACCATGTTTAAAGAACAAACTAGAAAATGTCCATGTACAACTTTTTTTTTTACTTGTCTTTTAAATAAATTGGGGCAGATTATAGTCAGAGGCAAACAGAGTGTGACGGTAAAATTGGACCAACGGGCGAAAGCCTATATCTGGCCTCTTCCAACACTAAATGACAGGCCCGGCCTGCTGTAATTACTACCTTTTAAACTTAACGTCGCTGGCTCCTTCAAACTGGGAAGGAAAGCAAAAAAAACATTCTCCGTCTCATTTTTGTGAGAATTTTTGGCTTTTTCTCATTCCAAAGGTCATATGTAACCATTCGATAATTGGCGTTTATGTGCTGCTAATATGTCAGAAACACTGAGAGGCCGTCTCAAGGGTGAAGACAGGGTGGTTTCTTTTGCAAAGGTAGACCCAAACATCAATTATACTCCACACTCGGTTTCCCAAAGCCAAAGATAATTTTGCTCAGCAGGGCTCAATTATCGGTTATTTCTGGCTAAACTCGGTCCTCATAGCACGCTACATGATGCCAAGTCCTCAGAAGAAAAGAACGCCTAACTCAGGCGATGTAATGATGCGTGTTAATCTACAGTGCACGAGGAAGAGACCTTTGGAAGTAAGGTTATATACAGCAGGGGTGGTGACTAAGAGCTTGTATCCAAACCATTGCACAACAACAAATAATCCACACATCAAGAGTCTACATGCAGGCATCCCTTTTTAAAATGCACTCCATCTGAATTCCCCCCAACAAAAGAAGCATGGAAGTTCAATTTCAAGTTCTCTGAGAACACAGTTTATACTGACTGTAATGCAGAACACAGGTCGATGTGACCACAAACTAAAGTGATCGGCATGCTGTATTTAAGCAAACAGCAAGACTCTAAGCCACGTGTGTGCTATTTCTCTGCATATTATTTATACTGTTATCTAATAAAGCAGTCAACCAAGAGTAAATGCACGCACGGCCACTAAGCTAACACTTCTCAGTCTGTGTTGGGATGAGAGGCCATGTGCTCTAACCAGGGTCTAACAAAACGGACAGTTTTGGAGACATTTCATGGCGACTTTGTGTGGGAGCAGCAAATATTGAACCAGGTGAGCTGCTGAGAAGTCACAGGGCGCAGGGATTACGGAAACCACCTGAACATGATGCGGTTTCAACCTCGTTTCTAGATGCCATTCTTAAGAAGAAAAAAAAGAGAGGCATAGCAGGCATGACTATAGATAACACAATTGCTGCTGCAAGACCCCAAAACAACAACCTTATCAGATCAACAGGATTATTACATGAAAGATCTGAAAAAGACGACAGCAACTTAGATATGATTTTGCCGAGTATTATTGAAGTGCTGAGTTAACAGTTAATCCTTGCAGGGGGGCCAGCTTACAGAGAGGCCGCTGTGGGGGCGTTCAACACCGCTCAGTCCCTTCGTCCCCATACTCTCCAATGCCATTAATGTCTCACCAGATTAAAGGCAAACCCACCAACTCACAGGAATTATGCCCCAGATAGATGGCTATCTGCAATCAAGGGAGATTCTGTCTAGCTGCTGCATATACAGGAGAACAGCAGCCACATCTGCCCTGCCATCAAAAGCTAATCCTGGCTGGGGGGGGGGGGTTGGGTGATGTCAGCCAGCTGCTGTGACCAACAGTACATGCATCACCAAACGTTCACAAAAAAAGGGCAACCACAAGATACATGTGGTGTAGATAGGGTCACCTCTTTTCAAGCAGTTTAAAATACACGTGTTTTTTAACCTAACTTTTCCACATCCACGAACACAGGGCGAGCACTAAACCGGCTTTTTCACTTGTCAGTGGACCCTCCTCCCAAATAGTTGCCCATCTGCCCCTCCAGCCTCGCAGCATTTTCTGACCAGATTCCTTTCTGTCTGTGACCGAGTGCCGCTGAGGAAAAGCTTTGTTTATGTGTGCGACGCATTCCGAACGGGGGAAAAACGAAGTCCTCAGTGCAATGCTACATGCAAATCTGACAGCTCGCTACCAGTTATGTCACCAAGTTCAGGAACCTTTCTGTTCAGTTCCTCTTTGAAAAAAATAAATAAACAAGTTTAAAACCATGAAAAAAATTATAAATTAAAAAACGCTTACATACTCACCAACAACAACAAAAAACGTTTAATTGCGTTTAATTTTAAAAAATGTAGCACCTTAAAAACACTGACACCTAAATCCGTATGCGTCGTTTGAGGGTTTAGCGTAATTCTAATCAGAAAAGTTTGTCCAGAGTTGTGTTCCCCTTGAATGAATATGACTAGAAACTAAATGTCTTTATTTAAAAATAGCTTGCGCACAGCAGAGAGGGGTTAGCTTCAGTTAGCCCTGTATTGAAGAAATTGCTGTTATTGAGCAAGAGGCTAGCTAGCTGCTCCAACTTGCTTTAGCAGACCAACCAGTAGTAAACGTAAACTTAACGTTCACCATAGCAATATTATAGGAATATCTACTACCCAGCAAGCTACCTTAAAGCGGCAGGACTGCTGACAGCATCAGTGTTCTCGGTACTTACCATTTATCTTGCGAGGTTGGTAAGGCTGGCGATTAACTCACACTAGCAGAAAAACCAAACTCCTTCTTTAGCATGCTACACGGCAGCCAATTCTGGTATCACAGTTGGAGAGCTAACGTTAACCTCAGCCACAAAGTTAAAAACGAAACTTGGCGTAACTCAGCCTTAACAGCATTCGATAGCAAACGCCGTGTCCTCATTTACTCTTTTATGTATAATGTTGACGTATCTCACAACTTTTACTTCTTCTCCCTGTAGTTGAGCTAGGTTGCTAGCTTGCAGACGTTCTTTTCATTTGCCGAACAAGCTTCTACGTCCTGGCCATCCTCCATTGGAAGGATTTACGTAGCGGTGTGATTTTTTTTTCGCAGTCTGTGACGGGGTTGGAAGAGGTCCACTGTCATAACAGAAGGCAATCTGTTTGTCCCTCCTTCTCTATCATGATTGGCCGAGGAGGTGTACGCCTACATACAATGCCTTTTGCTATTTGGCAAGACAACTGCCTATCAAAAAACTAACTGTTGTTTGGATGAGGTCTTTTGGAGGCTGGCCTTCGCGTGGGTCCCCTTTATAAATTGACCGGCGTATGCCGATATTGGCTGCGAGTGGAGTTAAGTGTCTTCAGAGACAAGTAGTTTCCTGAATAAAAAGTGCTGAAACATAAGTGCTAAACCGTGGTGTAAAATCTTTTCTGTTAGGTTTCTATGTAAGCAGCTCATAAACAACATTTAAATTGTATTGTGGCATTTTTATGACATCAAAATAATCCTGAATAATGAATAGAATAGTTTACATGGATTATAAGGTGTCTGTAACTGTAAAAGATTAACACTTGGTTAATATTTCTTCATCTATTTTTTATCAACTAATCTACATATATCAGAAATAAGTCAGCTTTCATATAAAATGCCTCTAAACTAACAGTATATCTTTTCATAAATACATAAGCTACCTATATAAAATCAGATAACATTTGTTTCTAATGAGTACAAGTTGGCGCAGGAGGATGCTGGTTGGGCTTGGCAGGCCCAAACGTATTGTGAAGGTTTTTTGGGACAGAGTCCCCCGTAAGACGGAGCTTCGAACACGTTCTGAGGAAGGTGGGGGACATTGAGTCTGCGTGGGCCATGTTTCATGTCTTCATTACTGAGGCAGCCCCCGGAGCTGCGGTTGCACAGTGCCTGTCGTGGTGGCAAACCTCAAACCTGCTTGTGAAAAACAATGGTGAGGGGTGCTTTCAGGCTGAGGGAGTCCTACCAGGTCTTTTTGCCCTGTAGGACTTAGAAGCAGCTGATGGGTATGGGCAATCCAAGAGGCATGCGGCTGGGTGCTGAGGCAAAAACTTGGGCATGGGAGGAGTTCGGAGAGACCCTGGAAAATGACTTCCGTACAGCTTAGAGGTGATTCTGGTCCACCATCCAGCGCTTCAGTAGGGAGGAAGTGGTGCACCACCAACACTGTTTATAATGGGGATGGGTGTGCTGTTGACCTCAACTCGGTACGTTGTAGGTTGGTGGGCAGAGTACTTTGAAGACCTCCTCAAGCCCACCGACACGTCCTCTATTGGGAAAGCGTAGGCTGAGGACTTCTGGTCTAGCCGTCAAATCAGGATCATCTCAGATTCTACAGGCCTCAGTGAGTATATACATGACAAAGAAGACTTGTCATGTATGGCTTTTTCAGTTATCTTTATTGGCCAATGTATGTAGGAAATGTAGGATTTCATGTGGAATGAGCAGATATCATAGGTTTGGTTGATCAAACAATACAATATCAAAAATAAAACAAAGCAAAGGCATTTTGGGTGTCTTCTGTTCTATAGGACTGAGTTTTGGATTGAACTTGAAAACAAGGCCCAAATCTAGCTCTTGTGGGAAAATCTCAGATCAAGCATAACTAGATGTTTCTTTAGCATCTTCAAGATTCGATTTTTAAGCAGGGGAAAAAAGAAAACATTGTGATGCAGTTTTTACACTCTAAACAGTTATTTAATTTTACTACCTCCAAATCTGTCTGCTGCCATTCAAGTATTTATATCCAAAACAATTTGCTATAGTCTCCAGATGAGGAGGATTTTTTCTTGCTGATCAGAATAACACTAATTTAAGGGGTTCCTCCATATATCTCCCATACTTTGTTTTCTTTCTTCTTTTTTTACATTGTACAGTGTTGTAATTCTAGGTAAAGTCAATTTACTTTTGTAGAGTAATATTAAAGATTACCAATGTTGCAATACTACAAAATAACCTCTGCTTTGTATTGCTGCCGCACACCTCATGAGAGACTTTGCACTGGTGTATTTATTCAGGCAAACTTAGAAACACCTTGTTTGCCATCCAATTGAAGGGACAGCTGCTCTCCCTAGTGGGTGTCTAGTGAAAGGGCAGCTCAGATAAAAAGGGACAAAAACCTCCAGGCTCTTCATGGCTTGTTATATATGAAAATGTGTCCACTGACAGATAGATCCATAATAACAGTAGCTCCTTCTGTGTTTACGATGACGCTGAAAAGGAAAAAATTAGAGTAGCATGTTAGTAATGCATTCATTAGTCTTAATCAGTCTTGATGTGAACGTACCACACCTGTCATCTATTATATCTCTTTTGCATGAGGTAAAAAGTAGTTTGCATTTCGACAGAGTGACTACACATTTTTTCTTGGCTTTGTCACCATTGTTCTATTCACCTTTGACTTCTTCCGTAGGTGCAGCTTTTTTCTTGCATTCTTCACAAACATGGTGGCATGATCTGTTTAGATAACAAGATGAAAAGACACAGAGGAATAATGTCTTTAGTCTTCCAAAAGGTGTAATAAATTGTTTCTTGAAAGAATGTTCACCAGAAATAGACAGGTTTATGATTATCAATACAAATTATGCATATTTTGTGTTTTTCTGACCTATGTCCAGGACCACCGTGACCTTTCCTAGACCATGGTCCAAATCCTGGTCCTTCCTTGATACCCAGCTCCTGAAACTTGCTTCGGCAAGTTCTGACATACGAGGCTTTTCCCACTGCAAACCCAAGAATCCCCGCAACTACAGAAAAGAAAAAAACAGTTTTCAGGGATTCTTGTTTTCTAAATAGGGCATTTTTACTTACAAAGTGACCAATAAAAAACAAATAAGCATAAACCTGCTAATTTTGGAAAGGGGCCCAGTCTCTGTGATGACTTCCACACACCTTTGCAAAAAGAAAAAAATGGGAACCTTAGTTAAATGTGATGATTAAAGATTGCTTTAATTGATATTTTGACACAATGATTACCATACCATTGTAGATGAGACCTCCAGTGACAGCCATACTACCCACAGAGAGGGGCAGAGCTAAATGTAGTCATGAGACAAATGCAAAAGATAAGATCAACCGTGACAGACACATCATTTTTATTTCATTTTATAGACCCTGAATTAAAAAAGAACATTTCTGGTTGATAGAAAAAAAATCTAGTTTTGACCGAACAATTCCCATTGATTGAGAACCCCTTGATTACTTTGAATTCAGTTTGACTAAGCTGTGACCCGGGAAGTAGCATGATTCCATCTGTTTTGAGGAAACAGGACTGACTGCTATCATGTCATGTTTGTGTGAATGCGTGATGAGAGAAGGTGGACAGCAGCTGTGCTGCTGGCGGTGTATGAAAAGGCAGAGACCATTAAGTGCTGTTACACAGATTATGGATCGTTTTAAGATTGTGGACTCTTGATCATGGCCATCTTTGCTTCCAGTGTGTTTACAACTACGTCGGCCGTTTCCTTACGTCCATCTTGTGAGAACCTTTCTATTGGTTAACTGGTGTGTTTCTTATCTTAAAATGGAGTTCAAGCCAAACGAGCGTGCACCTGGCATAATCTGTCATCCTCTGTGTGTTTTGTCACTCTTGCAGGAGCATACCTTTTCATTTTTTGTTTTTTTAACAAATCGGCCTATTTTGAGGGCGTCAACACAGTTCTATGGCTCAATTCAATCACCGCTCGGCAGTTTAAATTTTCCACAGAAATGTCTTAATTCAATGAACTGACTCTAAAACGTCAATATACATTAACTAAACCAAAATAAGTATCAGTTCCCATCCACATATGGTAACTTTTTCTGGAGACCCCACACCACATTCCACAGGGAAAGTAAACACTTGAAGTGAACTAAGAAGTTGACTGATGAGTTCTACTTCACTGCTTGTACGACAAAAGACTTTTTCTTCACGCTTTAAAAGAACATGCCTCAGTCTGCTCTCTCACATGGAGACACACGGCACACTTGTTGGCTTTTTAAATCGCTATAATAAAACTGGCAAGAAATGTTTAAGCTGTGTGAAAGTGTTTACCTCTATACCAGAAGCTCTCCTCTTGGCACTCTTTCCAAACCTTCCTCACATCTTCTTTATGAACATGGACATCACTCACCGGACACTGGAAGATACAGAGGCATCATTTTTGTCCCACAGCTTAACAGGTTGACCTTGTATGTAGTCCAGATAAAGTCATCGGCCACCTCTAACCTTCCAGCCCCTTTTGGCCGCAGCTGAATCGGCCGCAGCAGCTCCTGCTCCTCCCTCGGTCTTTCCTGTTGAAGTTTGCTCACTTGTTTCAGAGCTCATGATGGAAAACTTTCGGGTGAACGTTTCTGGAGTTGGACTACAAAGCTTCCGCAAGTGCTGCACATCCGCTCTCACAATGCCTTAAATATCACAGGCAGCGGTGGTACCTCCCTGAACTACCTTCTAAACTCCACCCATTTCAATAAACACACTACAAGATCATTTCCGGTTCCATACAGGGCTTTTTTCCTCTTCTTTATCTTTTGCATGATATGAATTCGGTAAAATTCAGGCTTCATTGTTTCACACTGACCAAATCGAAGACATTCGTGACAGTCTCCAATCTTCACCAGGAGTGTAGGTCCCGCGGGTTCATCCTAAGGTCAGATGGCAACGCTGATGAAAAGGCTAGGTTGGAAAACAAATGCTGCAAACGTCAATGAGCTGAAGTTGTAGACAAGAGTGGGTGAAAGAAATTCCACTATAAGGAAATGAGTGACTGATTACACAGTCTATTGTTAACGACGGTCACAATAACAACTAAATCCTGGAGTTCAACCTACATAAAATTCTATTAACTAAAATGCCCTGTATGTATACCCTTACGGTGAAGCAAGGTTTCATCATAAAACATTCAAGAGGGGCTATAAGAACACCTTGCAGTGGAATTGCAACCGTTCCCTTCTGTGACTCATGAGGATTATGTCGTCTTTACAATATCATTACTCAAGTGCATATACTAATGGAGGTCAGCCACACCTTTCTTTGAACTTTGCTTACATTTGTCTTTAGGGACCACGTTTTCGGAGCATAGCTACAATGTGTCAGCAAGATCTATTGACACAGAAATATAGGGAAACACAGGAAACTACGGGCTGCTACAGCAAAGACATACACATCTGTGCTTCATCCACAAGCCACTCACTCAGTCACATAAACAAAGAATTCTTACAACTCTTAATCACCACAACCAAATGTCTAATTCTTACCCCAACTGAAAGCTTCGTCTAAACTATTGTCTCTGCAGTTATACAAGTCACGGTGGGCTAGAGGTGAGCCAGACTAAAGTCCTCACTGGGAACAATAAAATACCCACATGTTGACAAGAATACCTGCTATGCTATCACGGCTAGTAAATATGTTACACTCATAAGAAGCACACTCCTACTACTCAAAGGTCAAGGATTGGTTTTATCTATTAGGTCAAAGAGGCAGTACCTGATTATTAGAATTTAAACTATAGAGGGATTTCTAAATATGAATGAAGACATAGTCTTATCTGCTTCCCGATCACTAATAGAGATTTACTATCTTTACTTCAGACAGCTATTGGTAACCAGTAAAGTTAAGTGAGGGATGGAGTAGTGTCAGGATGGTTGATCAAACATTATGCACGGAGCTGGGTTCTTTGATAGACAAGGAGGTTATAATGTGATAGCAGGAAACGCCTGCTTTTACAAGAGTTTTGCAGTAATGGAAATTAGACAAAACCTTCACCAGGAGCAGATCTGTAGAGTGAGTCATACGTGACCAACTCTTAGTCAAGTTTTAGCTGCAAAGCCACGAATCGGTAGACAGATGCAACCTCATAGGAGAACAACAGGATGTCAACAGCAATGACAACCAGGTTAGTTTAGGTTTATTCTATCAAATATTTCTGCGAAGATCAGTGAGTCTTTGTTCAACAGGATTTGAGTTATTTTTAATCTGGGTGGGAAAGGGAAAGAATAAAGATGTCGGATTTGTACGCTGCTCTATACTGTAAACCATGACTACTAATCAGAACAGACACTGAAAAGTTTGTAACCAGTCCTGCATGCAGCCACAGACAGATCCACATCCTGGAGAGGAGCCATACGACAGTCAATGTTTTTGACTGGAGAGGATGTCTACAGTGAGCCACAATTTCTTTCTAGTTTACCAGTGATCAGTTACTAAAGTCACATGAAAGACCTCACGGTAATTGACATAGAAAACAACTGCCGTGGGACCAGCAACGTAGCTCCATTCGCGAGTGTTCGTTTAGTCTCATACATACGGTTCACGGTCACGTGTCACCGGCTCAGTGCTACTGAACGTGCAGTAACCGAAGCTTTGTTTGTGGTAGAACCTTTAGGACACAGTGGACATCTACTGTCCACGACTGGTGGACGACTGGTTGCTGTCGACCGCCAACTGAGCAAGGTGAGTGACAGTAGTGGACACGCTTCCTGCTTTTCGGTAGAGAAATAAAAACCCATAGTCCCTTCGTTGAGACCCTGTCACTTCCCACTACCTGTGGACAAATTAAACGGACCCATTCAGCAAAGAATACAGGGAGGTACACCTTTAACGGGAACAGCCAATCAAATTTCATCGTGGGCTGGTTTCAAGCTTGCACGAGGAAATTCCGATGATTGACGCGCTCGTAGCTCGGCCTTTTTCAAAGCGTAGACCAATCATGCCAAAGTAAGGGAGGAGCCTATTTCGTATTACCTCCCTCGTGAGACATGACAATTCAGTCAGCCAATCACAGAAAGAAAAGGCGGAGATCAGGCCAGCGGACTCCCAATCACCATCGGTGGGCGTGTTTTACGTGAACAAGGCCCGCCTATTGGCCGGTCTGCGGACTTCCCACAGACAGTTGTATGTTTCATAAAAATGCACTCTGATGCGGCAAGTAAGTAGTAACGTTACATACGCCTTTCTCCACCTAGTTGAGATATTTGGGAGGGTTTTGAAGCGTGTGTCAGAGAAACACAAGCATATGAATTGTGTTTCTACGTCCGCGGTTGTCCCGTGGCTCAGTGAGAACGCATGAATCCCGTGTTATTTGCTAGTCTCTTTGTATTTGCTAGTGCTGTCTTGGGCGACAACAAAGGGAAAATAGCTAAAATAATTCAAGTTCCTATTGATAATGAGGATGCTAATCAAGGGCCGGGAGGTTAGCTAAACATATCTTTACGTGTTGGGGTATGAGTGCTCGTTAACGCCGTCGATGATACTTTTATTAAGAGGCTTTTCGATGGTAATCGGAAGATTGTCGCGGTTATAGTAACCAGTAGTTACAGCGTACAGCACGTATCAGTGAAAGCTCGACATCGACGTTATGCTGCTGTTAATCGGCCAATTTTTCTGGTCAGCTGCGGACTGTTACACAGAATGAAAATTGTGACGCAGTTGTGTAAAAAATGTTTCGTTGCCTGTCGCAGTAGTGTTGTCTGGTTGTGCGTCACCCTCCTCAGCTGCTGCGAAACGTCTGCGCAACGCTACCGTGCCAGTAACAGTGTCATTTTACATTTCTTAATCGATGTAAAAACGCATTCAATCAGTTAGGGTAAAATGTAGGGGGTAGAGCAGTCTGAAAGAAGTAGTTGTTTTGTAAAGGCCTGGGAAATGTAGTTCGGTCCCCCGAGTAGAGCCCAGTTTCAAAAGGTCTCTTTAACCGAGGAGGACTACATTACCCATAAGCCAAACTCTCTAGATACTTTGTAAACTCTGTGCAAGTTGCGCGTCTGCACTGCTATTTTAGGTATGAAGCTAGTGCTATTTGCTCGTCTGTGTTTTTTGGCCTTAGTTCGGGTCTGCCCTCTATAAACTAATTGAAATCAGGGGTTTTAGGTTGAAGGGGCGTTCTTCAGTGCACATAAGACACTCGGAAGAAGGTAGCCTTTGTGATCGAAAACGTTCTAGTTCCCATGTCTTTGCAGGAGTGTCACTCCGTCATTCGCGTGTGACATTTCAGCCTTTTCGTCAAACGTAAACATGATGTGGGACCCACGTGAGGATGTCATCTGCGCTGTACAGTCTGTGTTGATCACTGATCAGAATTGCTTCGTGGGTGGGCTCCAGTGCTAATGGTTTTTGTGATGTCAGCCCCCCATGCTCCTGCTTTTACCTCAGCTTAGGGTGGTGCATCACTACCTAGGTCGTGTCTCTTACGTCGTCTCTCGTTTATTTATTGAAATAGATTTTCAGCTGAATTCCCATTTGACTACGTTGGCCAGCATCCACAAGATTCACCACACCTTGCACAGGCTGGTAAATATAAGTGATCGGTGTGTGCATTTAACTTTAGATGTGTGTTAATGTGCAGTGAAATTGGGTCATGCTCACAAACGTCTGTTTTGGTAGAACCTGACAGAAGACGTTGGACAGGATAGCCACCAATCAGGTAGGTTACTGTGAGGAAAGTCATGAGTTTGTTAAGCTTTTTGTGTATTTGTGTGTTTCATTTGTGATGTGCGTCTTGCTTCTTCTCGCTTGCCATCCTAGCTTGCTGCTCTAGAGCCATGCCGCCAAGGAAAAAGAGGAGACCCTCCGCTGGAGACGACATGTCGGCCAAGAAAAGTCGCCAAGAAAGGTGGGAATTCTCTTTGTTAAAGATCGCTTTAGTGTATTTTTCAAACTTTCCTTGAGCCATTTTATTTTTGTGGCTCCGGGAAGTATATCCTATTTTTTCTTTTGCAGTAATCTTATGATAGGAAAAGTCCATATTGCTGCTTGGTTAATGACTAAAACATTTTTTTCTCCTAAGTGTTTTTAGAAAACACGAAACGTCACAAATCCGAGAGGAGGAGACCTTTTCCAGTAAAAGATGCTTGGAGTGGTTCTATGAATATGCAGGTAGGGAGTTGTGAGCACATCCTTACCACAGTTGGATTTGGATACAGATGTGTCTTGTTGTTTTGTTTTTTTTAAAGTTAATTTTGGCCTGGTATGCTAAACGGACACACTTCTGCACTCCTTTAAACAAGGTTGTGACGATGTGGTGGGTCCAGAGGGCATGGAGAAGTTCTGTGAAGACATTGGAGTGGAGCCAGAGAACGTAAGCAGATTTTTGGCAGGTTTGGTTAATTTGGTCTGATCCCAGCTGTTTGTTTGTTTGATTTTCTTTTCGGTTTTTCATAGTGGCTGCCTATCATTACATGTTAATAAGATGAGTTAAGCAGTAATAACTTTGCTGTCATAGTGTCACTTGGAGGACACTGTTGTTGTTAGTGCTTACAGTTTTGTGAACCTTTTTTTTTTTTTAGGGTTTTCTTTATTTCTCCATAAAAATCATCAGCTCCTACAAGCACAGAAACGCAGTTGGGGGGGAGGGATTAAGCGACCCTTGATATGCTTTGAAACTTCTCGTCCAGACACTGATTACCACAGTGCATCTCTGTGCGGGTTTCCCAGCATCCTGTCTGAAACCTTTACAGATGGCCCACAACACGACTGCTCGGCCGGTGTTCAGTCAGCCAAGAAAGGCAGATGTCACTCCGATAACCATTGAACTCCTCTGGCTTCCCACAACAATCCCTGTCAAATCGAAGAAGCTTATGCTGCCTGCAGAGTGCCTGTTGCACTTACTTGAACTCGCTCAACATAAGCCAAAGCCTCTTTCTGCGAGCTGCCTCTCAGGAACATCACGGGCCACGCTTAAGAATGATCCCTAACTGACTTAATTTAAGCGTCCACCGTAACAAGCTATTGAATGCCAACGGAGCAGAAATGCCCCTAACGTGAATGTTACTCGTCTTGTGTGTTAATTTGGATGAAATTGTCAGCTGCAAGGGAATTTTGTCACTCTAATTTTACATTGTCCATTATTTACAGTTGATCCTATGTGTCTTTGCCCATGCTGATAGGATTTATTGGGCTTTCTTTAACTTCTTTTGGTGTCTATGTAAAAAAAAGAAGAGAAAGAAATGTTTTGGGTCAGAATTCAGCAAAAACGTGGCTACTTTTAAAACATGTATTGTATTATTTTGCCCCGATCTTCAGTCAGTCTTCATTTCAGTGTTCTATATAAAAGCCCAAGGAATTCTGCATTTGTCATTGTCTGTCTTGGCCCAGGTGGTGATGCTGGTCCTTGCCTGGAAGCTGGATGCTCAGAGTATGGGATATTTCACCCTGCAGGAGTGGCTGAGGGGCATGGGCTCACTGCAGTACGTCTACGACTTTGGGTCTTTTAAAGCCAATTTATCGGCTCCGCCGTGCATGGGTGGCAGCGACGTCCACTACGGTTTGTGGTGAAATGTAGCACCCTGCTGAATTGCTTTTCTGCTGTGGTCAGGTGTGATTCCACCGAGAGGCTGAGGAACTCGCTAGACTACCTGAGATCTGTCTTGAACGACAGCACCAGTTTTAAGCTCATTTATAGATACGCCTTTGATTTTGCTCGGGTGAGTCGAGCCAAGTTTTTTTTTTCCCCCACCAGGGAGCTTGAATGCTCTGCATTTCATGTGATTTGGGTTTAAAAAGAGTCCTCATGAAGTTTCTGATGTTTTTGATCCAGGAAAAGGATCAGAGGAGTTTGGACTTGAACACAGCCAAATGTATGCTGGGACTTCTTCTGGGAAAGACGTGGCCTCTGTTCCCAGTCTTCAATCAGTTTTTAGAGGTAAGCAGGTAGCGTCGTTTTTAGCGCAGACCGGCAGCTGCGCCAGGGTGGGTGGGGGGGGGTTTCCAGCGTTAACTCATGTTCGGTTCCTCAGCAATCGAAGTACAAAGTCATCAACAAAGACCAATGGTGCAACGTGTTAGAGTTCAGCAGGACAATCAACCTGGACCTCAGTAACTATGATGAGGACGGCGCATGTGAGTGTCCCCTTAGTTATTAGTTAACAGTATGTAAATTAAGTGTTACACCCATAACCAATCTCTGTCTCCTAATTCTATAAGGGCCGGTTTTGCTGGACGAGTTTGTGGAATGGTACAAGGAGAGACAGATGTCATAGCCGCCGACGGGGAGAGCGGGAGAAAGATTTCAACTGTGACCACAACTCTTGAGTTTCAACAACCAATATGTAAACAACACAAAAATATGGGAAAGCATTGACATTGGGTGCTTCCTGGTAGAGGAGGGGTTCGTGCCGTGGGTGGGAGAGGGTGGGAGGGGGTGGGATCAACAGGGTTTGGAATGGTGTGTGGGGTGCCCAGACCACAGGTGTGGGAGGCTGTGATTGGAGAGGGGGGGGGGGGGGGCTATGCTCCCTACCGAAGTTGCACAGTTGGGCAGCTTTGCAGCATTCCCCACGGTGACATGTCATATTACTGTCCTTGTTAGGTTGGAAACTAAACGGTATTGTCTGGGAGGACCACTCCTCACTCGTCGTCTTCAGCACAGAGAAACCAACAGAAGTGACCATTCGTGCGTTATGTTTGAGTCTAAAACGGGGTCACTTGGACCTGGACACACTTAAGTATTATGTACCTGTGCAATGAACTTGAACATGAGCTTCTCTGGACAGATGGCACTAACTATTGTTTTTTTTTTTTTTTGGTAGTACTTAATGAAGCACACTGTGTCAAAGGGTTGATTGCAGGTTTGTGATGCCTGTGCTGTTTACTCTCAGTATGTGCCAGTTCTTACTTTCCCTCCAGTTTTGTTCCTTCATGCTGTTTTGCTAATGCTAGCCGCCCTCCCCACCCCGCCTCTCCCCTGCAAAGGCTCCAGACCTCATAACACCAACCAAATCAGCATTGCTGCTTACTTACTCTTATTACAGTACAGCGGTGGGCCCAGCGCTCTGATCCGCATCTATTGGTCTGGCGACCAATTCATGTACACGTAGTGTAGGTAAGAGTATATTTGTGCCTCAAAACATGGAAGTCACTTTGTGTGTCCCACACACATACCAACAAACCCAAATGTATATACACATGTGAGATCACATGCACACACACAGACAGACACACGAGTGGTCAGGGATTATTTCAGGATGAATTCAGACTGTTTGGGCTGTGTTATGAGTTAACATAGAGCTAGATGGTGTCCATTTTGTCTCGGTATTTGGCATCTGTTTGTCTTCCTTAGTCTACTGATAGTTTCAGGTCTCCTCTTACCAGTAGCATCTCTCAGAACACTGGCAGTGTTAATACAGCTGCAGTGGAACACCAGACACCTTCTGAGGACGACGTCCTTTGAGCTAGTGAGGTAGGTTTGAAGGCTTTTCTCTGTACCACCCCCGTAGGATGTAATCAAAACAGTGGACGTTGACAGTTTGGAACTGTGTGACGATGCTATGACGTTCTGTTCGCCTAGTGTAACGTTCTTGTAACACCTGAATAAATTTTTTGTCTTTGGCCGTGATGTGATGCTGAAACTGTCGGATTTACAATTTGCATGCACGCTCCAACAGAGCCTTTTGTGAATGGAGGAGATTTTTTGAGAACATTTTTCAGACGTGTTTTTTGTTTTGTACAGGAATTTTGTGCACGTGTTTTTTGTGCTTGATTTTACAGACGCAACCATGTTATTTTATTTTTTGTAATGAAAGAACATGATTGTGTCTACGTAGACCTGGAACACACCTGTAACCTCATGGTGGAACAGGAGTTCCCTCCTGCATTTATCCCATCTTAACACAGAGCGTAAGCGCCAGCAAGCTGCAGCCGGCATGTGGAGAATTGTTTCGGTTTGTCAGATAGTGCATACAACATTTTGTTTTGCGTCTCACGCAGTCTCTCTCACTGTCATGACACGCTCGGAGTGCACCCTGAAATGACTTCTGTCTAGATTATCCTCATCAGCATTCACTAAAATCCACTTTTTCAGAAAACTCCATTTACCCCTGTCGCTTCGATGCAATGATCAAGATTGACTCAAAGATTTAGCTAGTTGCTGGTTTGCTTACCAAATATTGTGCAAAGATCAATGTTTTAGTATTTTTCACATGAAAATGCAGGAGGATGAACGGCCATGTCCCAATTGTATATATGTATGTAAACTAAGTGTCTACATGTCCGTTTTCACTATAACCTATGTCTATACACATAAATAAAAGGGTTTATTAAATTATTACTGGCTTATTTTGAGCTCTTTGTGAATAGACTTTCTTAAACAAGAACAAAAAGTTATGTTTCATATTATCTTCTATCAATGATCAATCCTTTTTTTTTTTGTTATGGTGGTTTATTTGTCATTTCAGAAATGTATGAATCACCAAGTGCCATTAAGGATTCTGATAGTAAACTCATTTGGCAGACAGTTTTCTATAGAAATTTACAAAGGGATTTGCAAAAGTTACACAGATATTAACAACAAACATCTGAGTTGTGCTGTGCAGCAACTCGCAATTTTGTTCGTTAACATTTCAAGCCCAGTTCGTATAAAAATAAGTGAAACAATAGTTAACATCAAATTTAATATTTAACACCAATATTAGTCATTTATAGAAGCTTGAACTGCACCAACTGACAAGTTTGAGGAGTAACTGATTCGGATTCCTTTTGTTTTCTCTTTGTTACTGATGGGATCTGTATAAATCCAATTCAGTAATCTGGTGGAGGTGTGTCTGGGATGGGAGGTGGAGCCTCCTGTGGTGGATTAATGTCTCTAATGTTATGCCTCCTATAAAGGGGCATTCCGTGCAACAAATATCCTGTTTGTTTCTCATCGGCTGATGCAGAGGGAAGCTTTAATTGTTTAAATGGCTGTGCAGACTTGGCTTTGGCGTATATCTCAAAACTACCGCCATCTTGTGGACCCTTAGATGCATCTTTGTCCAAAGGTGATTCCCAAACACTTCTCTCTGATGCCATGGCTTTTAGAGCGCCAAGGCCTCTCTTTATCTTTTTGTCCTCAGGTACAGATTCTGACATTTCATTGGTTTTGTTGGACGGACTGCCACTGTCTTGGACAATGTTTGTGATGGTTAAACTGTCAGACGGGTGAAGAGGTGAAGATTTTGGCGCCGTAGGTGTGGCCTGGGGCAGATATGTTGACCCTGCATTCACATTTGTAGGTTTGGGCAGCAAAATGTCAGACGGATGACGGCCAATACCAGCCCACCTCACCTGAAGTGGGAGATCCACTTCCATTGGACTTTCCTTTGTAAAGTCCACAGGTTGATCTCGCCCTCTTGGGGTTAAAGGGTTAGTAGGCACTAATGGACCTCTGATAATTGAACGTTTGTAGGGGATCGGATAGTCATCTCTCCTTCCTGAATGAGTTGATGAATGTATACTTTGTTCTGAATTGCGTGCTACTTCATCATTTTCATTCTCACTGGAGGAAGACTGAGAGCTGCTTAGCTGTGGTGATGGTGCCTTTACATTCAGACGCCTTTTGAGACGTGGGACACCAGCTCTCAGGTCTGCAACGCTTTGGTCCACCGTCTCATTCTCACTGCTGCTGCTTGAGGAGGAATACGTTTTTTGTGATGGTGTACTGGGAGCCGTTACAGTGTGTCCAATATATGGAGGACTAAAGTCAGCTAATATGGGGTCAGGCTTAGGTTTTTCTCCACTTCCATGAAAGCTATAATCATCTGTTACTCTGTCTCGGATTTCTACCAAGGACCTGTATTTATCCAGTTTTTCGGAAGTAGCAGAAACGTTTACTGGTCTGTTTTTAAGGATTGGAGTTGGGTCTGTGTGGGTTATTTCATGCATTGCAGCAAGCCTTCTCTTTACTCTCGTTCTTGAACCAGAGCCGCTGTCACTGCTGGAAGAGTATGGAGAGTCGGGTTGGGTGGATGACAAACTGGGTGCTTCTTTTGCTTTTGATGTGATTTCAAGGCGCTTTCGGGAGCGGGAGATGCCAAGTTTCATGTCGGCCCACTTTTTCTGGAGGTCTTGGTTAATCTCAGGTGTATCAGCGTTCGGTTTGTTGCCATCTGTAAGGATTGTGTACCTTTCTAATTTGACATTTTGATTTTGATTTTGACTCTGAGATATCCTCTTTGCAAACATGGTTGTCACTCCCAACTCTACTTTAGCTTTACTGTCTCTTTTCTCATCTTCACTCTCACTGCTGGAAGAGTGCGATTCAGAATGTTGAGAATCCAACATGCTGCTGGGAGCTTGATTGTGTTGCGACAATGGAGCTTTGATATCTAAACGTCTATTGACATTAGGTATTATCCTCACATGATTTCTGTCTGTCTTTGGCACGCGTAGGTCCTCTGCCTTAACATCGTCTTCGGTGCTGGAAGATGACTCAGGAGAATGGAAATGCGCCTTGATATCCAGACGCCTTTTTATATGGAGGTTGCCACTCAAGCCCACTTTTGGCCATTTTGAATTTGGATCTGTTTCTAAAGTTGCTGTCTGGTTGTTGAAATGTTTCATGGCAGGATCTTCATCATCTGAACTACTTGATGAGTAACTTGGATTTTTGTTAACTTCTCCCATCTTTCCTTCTTGTGAATGGCCAGTAATACCAACATTAAATAGTGGTAAATTTAATTTCTGATTCCCCATTTTTTGGATTGTTGTTTCATCCTCACTGTCACTGCTTGAAGATGAATGAGAACTTGGTGTCGGTGCTTTGATATCAAGGCGCCTTTTTATTCTAACAATATGCTGAAGATCAACAGCAAGACCCCTTACATCTGCAGCTTGATTTTTTGTTTCAGATTCCTGCAAAGGCAGTCCAATGTCTAACATCCCAGGCCTTTGACTACCTGTGTGGCCAGTTGTATC